ATTAACTGGCTCTTTTCTTAAGCCAGCAGTTCTCAATCTTGGCGGAACATTAGAAGCACTTGGGGAGATTTAAAATATGCCAATGCCATACTCCACAGCAATTAAGTCAGCATTTCTGAGGATAGTACTCAGGCACTGGTGGGTTTTTAAAGCTTCCCAAGTGATTGCTTGTTACTCAAAGTGTGGTCCCTGGACCCAAAGCCTGGGCTTCACCTGGGAGGTTGTTATTGCTGTCATCCTAGACCTAATGACTTAATAGTTGATGTTTAACAAGGAGCCCAGGAGATTTGTATGCACATTAAAGGTAGGGAAGCACTGGCTTTAGCCATGATTAATTATTTACTCTACTCTTTGCAGCTGTGTAAATCTCGATTCGCATTCAAACAGTCAGGACTCCGAGGTACTGAGAATCCCCATGCATCAGAGTTCCCTGTTCTCTGAAATAGACAGAGATGCCGCATTCAGAGGTTTGGTATCTTCTGGGCAGTGTCCCTCTCTGTCTGGAGGAGGCCATGAACAGCTTTTCAGGTGATCTAAAACCCACCAGAGTGGGAACCACTTCTGAACTTCTGGGTACTAGTAGCTTTTTCAAACTTTTGGCCAAAAAAAAATAAAAAACCTCCCTTGTGGACACCGAGGTGGGTCACGTGACCCTGCGGACCCTGACCGTAAGCCGCTGAGGAAGGCTGTTGACAACATTCTCTCCCTGACACATCTGGCTTCCACTTGGCCAAACACGTCTTGGGGACTGACTGCTCTGCGCCCCCAGGGGATGGATGGCTCCACCCATCAACTCACACACAGGAGACCCGCTTGTAAAATGCTTCTGGGGCTGCTTCTGGGGCTGAATCTCGAGTAGGGTCGAGGTACACAAAGCTGTGGGCCAGGTTTTTCGTAAGATCAAGCTATGAGTCAGAAGCCAGGGCCACTGGGCAATATGGACTCCTGTTCCAAGGTCATACTAAGCGAGTGTGAAGCATTTAAGGTGGAATGGTCTCTGGGTGCAGAGGATGCCCTCCTTTTGAAAGACAATGTCTAAGAAGAGGTAATGTTTGTCCTTGTACAGGACAAGTTAGGAATATTCCCCATCTGGCTGGAATCAACATGATGGGTGAGCACGAGGCAGACTGAGGGGCAAAGCACATGCTAGCACCCCCATCCCCAGGTGGGATCTGTGTGATATTCCTCAGACACTCCCGGCCCCCCAATCACAAAGGAAAGGGGTTTAAGTGCTTGCCCTGGTGACGTGGGGAACGGAAGCAAATGACAACTTAAATTCCCTGACTGCCTACAGCCCACTGACAAGTCCTTGAACAGGCAGAGTGACCTCCCTCTAGGAGCTCAGCTGCCTCAAGGATGACACTTTGCTGGGGGCAGAAGAGAACCTTAGCTTAACAAGATCCCAACCTCCAGGATCCTGTAAGTCTACTTCCTTTATCTCAACTCCCCAGGAGATATGCAGGCAATCCTGCTCCAAGTTTGTGCCCGCCCCCCCCCCCCCATGCAACTGAAGGGTCTCAGGACTGAGGTTTTATTAATCGGTGATAAATGGCGTTTCCCTAGCAACAGCCAGCCCCTCAAGGTCCCAGGAACCTTGCTTCCAAAATACTTCAGAGATTTACTCAATCCCTGACCCCCTCCCAATCTGCGGGTATATAATGAGTTACTTGTCATGACCGCAGTGCGGCCCTTCCTGCCCACGGGTCCTGTCCCCGTGCTTTAATAAAATTCTCTTTTTGCACCAAAGACGTTTTCAAGTATTCCTTCTTGGCCGTTGGCTCTGGACCCCACGAACCCCCCATCACCGCAAAGCTTCATCAGACAGACTGGAAACAATCCCTGAGTTGCAATGTCAACACTTACACTCGTCAGTTGCAGACTGACGGAGAGAAAAGTCATCCCCAAATCAGGGTGAATGACTTTTAAATATCAGCGGACGCCCTCTGTATAGATTTGTCTTTGCAAATATATGAACTGGATCTTCAAGATCCTTGGACGGGAGCTGCATTCAGAGCAGATAGACACACAAAGGCTCGTGTGGCCACACATGCACACACGCGCTTGTGCACGCACACACAGATAGGCACACTGTCATCCTCCAAGCCAGGCTTTTCATAGTTAATTCATCATTCAACCAGTAAGTTTGGAACTTAACGAGGCAGTATATATACCCACAGACTAAACCTTACACCCCCCTCTCATCTGTGGCAGGTACATAAACACGGTCGGAGGAAAGCACATCCTTCACGTGCAAACGTCCGGCGAGCCTCCTATCGGCCCAGCGTGCCACCGCTGCCCCTCGAGCCGCTATTGGAACACTAAGTTGCACCCCCGGACGGGCTGTTTTGATGGGTGTCCTGTCCTCCAGGACGCAGGACAAGCAGAGCTGGAAGACGCTCTCCTACGAGGTGAGTGGTCTGTCCTCCCCACCCCCTTTGTGCGCGTGTGAACGGCTTTCATTGAATTAAAACCCTTCAGCGGGTTCTGGATGGGCAGGGAGCTGCGGGAAGGCATCCCCTTCACTATTAACCGGGAGGTGAGAGTAACTCTTGCCTCTGGGGAGAGACGGGGTGTCCTCTAGGGAAAGCCCCCCCTACCTGCTTCTCTGTCCCCAGAGACCGGCTGGAGGGCAGGCTCCCCGGCTCTGCCCGAAAGAAGGGGGCTGCACTGTGAGACAGAGGCAGGGGTGGATGGTGGGGGGCCGGGGGGAGGGCGTCCCCCATGCACAGATGTGCAAACACCCAGATTCAAACGTAAGCTGAATGTTATGAGCAAACTGACACTCAGGGACGTAAAGGGTCTTGTCCAAGGTCACAAGGCTGGCAAGGGGGGTTTGGGCCCAGAGAAAGCTGTGCTTGGGTTTGGGACACAAACCCTTCCACTGCTCCAGAGTCCTGGAGGTGCCCCAGTCACGGGGGTTGAGATCTGACTTTTAACACCTTTTATGTTGGGTCCTGGATAAGAGTTCATTAGGAGAAGAGTGCATGAGTGTGTATGTGGGAGGGGCCTGGGGCCGGTAGGAGTGCCAGAGAAAACCCGGGGATCCCAGTTACATTTGAATTTCAGATAAACGACAAATAATTTTCTGGTATAACCAGGTCTCATGTAATATTTGGTAATACACTGGAACAGTCTTTGTTTATCTGAAATACAATGGTTTTGGTTTATTTATTTATTTATTTTTTTGGTCTCATATCTGGCAGATCTGTACATGTGTGTATAGGGGCAGTTTTGAGAACCATTGTGTTACCACACGCTGACTTCCTTCAGGCCTCAAGTTCATGACTCTCACTTCCCCAGATGAGCCCTGCCCACAATTTTTTGCTCCTTCCCTTTCTCCCTATCAAGGAGACACAATACCAGAAGCAGGGCAAGCAGACTCAATAGAAGGGGGCTGTGGGCGGGGCTGGGTCCAGTGTTCCTTGATTACTTGATCTCCCCGCCGTCCCACCCCCTCCCCCGCCCTTACTGTTCAAACACCAAACATGGTGATGTCTGTGTTCTGTCCCTTACCCTTCCTTAGGGAGGAGAGGACGAATCTGGTTTGTGAGCGCATCCGGGGTACCTGTGTGCACGTATGTGTATGTGTGTGTGTGTTTGCAGGTGAGTGCTTGTGTGTGTGCACGTGAGTATGCAAGCACATGTGTGTACACTCACCGTAGGCACATGCTGTGGACAGCATGTCAGGTGAGGACTTCACTCCCCAACTCAGAGGCTCACAGGGTCAAAGGGTCTGCAAAGCGCCCTCCGGCCACATCTCATCGCCACGATTCACGGCAAACTCTGTGGTCCTCCGGGTCCGAGGCCTCGGCCTGAGTTTTCCAGCCTCCTTCCAGGCAGGAGGGGACCCCTCGGCCACATCTGGGAGCTCAGTGTCTGCCTGCAAGATTTGAGGGGCCACAGGCGCTCCGATGTCCCCCCACCCCCATCCCCACCGGGAAAGTGGCTCAGCCACTGAGCCGGAGCCTGGATGGGGCCTCAGTGTGCTTCTTGGGACCCTCTGGCCTCCTGCCAGCCCGGCCCCTGCCCGTCTCCAGCCACACCGCCTGGGACAGCCTCTCTCCTCGGGTCCCTCGTCACCTTGACAGCATTTCTCGCCGTGAACATCTTGTCAGGATAATCAGCTTTTCAGGCCATTCCTGACTCCCACCCCCTTGCTGGTTTAACCTCAAGGGAACCTTTCTCTGGATGAATATAAGCCTTCTTTTTCCCCTCTGTGTTTTTCTTGGAGGCATTTTGCAGAGAATACCTGACCTGTGCCCAGTGACAAACATAATTGCTGGTGCTGTGTGTATCTTTCCATTAAGAGGCTGAAATACAATCTGAACCATTTTCGTCTGAGCACTTTCTGCTAAGTATGGGTTGGAGCTCGGACCAGATGGGATTTTACGAGAGTGGTAAAAGTCAAGCTTGTAATGTGTCTCAGTCAAATCGATGTGTAAAGGAGAAATGTTAAAGGTGGGGAAAATGTAGCTGGGGATGCATTTGGATGCTCCAAGCACAAGGGCACAGAATAGGGACATAGGTGGCTTTCGTGGCTCTCAAAACTGAGCCGAAACGTGTTTCCAGGAGCGCAGTGGAGACTCTTCTCAGGGGCATGTGATCAAACTTAGCTCTGGAGCAGGGACAGCCGTATACGGCTTTTGTCACAAAATCTCAGTGTCATTCGTATAGTACATGCTGCTGTTGATTCTGCCCAGGATTTCAGTTAAACCCAAACTGCTGTTGGTAGAGATGCAATTACGTTAGAGAAAAACCGTTTCATTGTCTTGAGATGTTATGATTATGAAAAATGGCAACGTGAACTGCCATTAAGGCAGAAGAAAGTTAATGGTGTTTTGTGCCACCTCCCTGGGCCAGTGCACTGGCGTCGACATGATTTACTCCAGCAAAACGCAGCACACACACCTTCTCCCTTAATTACAAATAATTGTATTGTGTAATTTATACTAATGCCCAGTGCCCAAAAGTGCACATTCAGGAATAAAGAACTAGTTTGGGAGGGGGGGGGCGGATTATAAACAGGTGTAATTGCCGTCTCCTGGGGCTGAAGACCAGGGACATGTAATCAGGCTTCTCATCAGCGGGAGTCAGTCTGGCAGCCTCCAGTCACCGATAATTGTCGAGTCGCTTTGCCGTCCACCAAGAATTGCCTTCTGGGTAAGTGGACAAGGAGGATTAAACACATGGATTTCACTATGTGGTGAAACAGACACACGGGCTGCGTGAGCCCGTGAGTAATTGAGCATTCAAGTGAGGTAGCGCAGCCCCGCGGCACAGCGGCAAATCCACACCGAGAAGGCAGACCTCTGGGTGTCTGCTGGGTGATACATTCTAACGGGGACAAGCAGGGTCCGTGTGACCGTAAGTGCAAATCCATTTCATCTCTCTTGACAGCACATCTCGTGTACCATCACCTGCCTGAAAATTCACTTGCGAGCTGATCCGTTTTTGTGGTGATTTAATAAAAGCAGAGCAGACCAGGGCTCTCATTTACTGGTCTTTGCCGCACTGGGGCTGCTGACTCCTAATCTGACCCCTCCAGGCCTCGGTTTCCTTGTTTTAAGAATGGGGATAATCTTGACGGCATTGCAGATTGTCGTGCAGATGCAGTGAGACTGATAAGGATAAAATGGCCTCAGGCGCCTGGCTCATGGAAGGTGCCCGATGGGCGCACATTGAATCAGAATCAGACACTCACTGTCCCGGGCCCTGGGAGAGACTCCTTCAGAGGCTGCAAAACTGAACTGTGAAAAATCCAGGGCAACTGGTCCTCATGAATCTAACCCCGCCGTCAACCTAAAAGGTTCCCTGTCGATACAGGGGAATGAACGCCTGCTGAGAGCTGCATTCTGTCTGGTGCACAAGGAATCACGAGCTGGGCGCTGGGAACTCTCGGTGTTGTATGCTGAGACAATACGTGGATTGAGGGCTTTTTCTTTGCCTTGAACGGAGACCATTCCCCATGGGCCTTAACAGACACTAGTGGGGACCGGTGGCTGCATCTGCCTGGGTGTGCGCAGCAGCAAACACCCCCAAACAAGTTGTTCTTGAGTTATCCCTGGGGGAGTGCGAGTCCACAGGGCATTTCAGAGCAGGAAGCCAGGCATCCCCTGGGGGGAGACATGGAGAGGAAAGCCACCTGGGCTGCTTTGGGAGAGCTGTATCCCCGAGCCTGGTGTGACCTCAATGGCCCTGTGGCTTGGAGCTGTCTGCACACCCAAGGACGGTGTTTTGATAAGGATTATCAGAGCATGCAGCAGCCCCGCACATCTTTGGGGAGATGCTCATCTATTCATTCATGCAACGGATGTTGAGCAAGTTATTCAGCACTAGTCCCTAGCAAACATGGGCATACAGAGTATAATAAAACACAGGACACCCGTTAGATATGCAATGAGTAATTTTTAGTATCTGTATAAGTATGTCCTATGCTGCACCTGGCAACCCCATTCGCCAGATCAGATTAGGTCAGAGGTTCTCAAACTCATCACTATTAACATTTGGTGCTGGATAACTTTTTGTTAGGGGCTGTTCTATGCATTGTAGAATCAACATCCCTGCTTCTACCTGCTAGATGCTAGTAGTAACTTCCCCCCAGCTGTGGATAACCAAATATGACTCTAGATAACTTCCTGGGGGGATACAATTGCCTCTGGCTGAGAACCACTGGGTTAAAGTTTAGTAAGTAAAATAGATATTACAAGTGAGCCCAACAAAGAATTTGTGGCAGCAACTACCGGTTGCTTACCCAATATCTAGTCCCTCTCTTCCTTGCTAATAGAAATCTGCTTTTGGGGGGTTCATGTTGAACACTTCAAAAACTCTGAGGCTCAAACTGCAATGGAATGGCTACTGGGAATCCCCGAAGGGAGTGCCTTTCTGAACATGGAGAACAAGGGGACTCCGAGGGGAAGGGAGCGAAATTGGCAGTGTGCCAGCTGCAAGCTCCGTGGGCACTGGCCAGGCAGGTGTTGTGATTTTGCAGAAAGGAAACTTCTTGTGCTTCAGCCAGACTCTGTTCTCATATGCTGTGTTCCCAGAATCACTGACTCAATGGAAGAATTTATGAGGAGCAGGTTTATCTTGGGATCTGGAAACATGGGAAGTGAGCTCAGAGTAGAAACTTTTATTGTCTCTTCCCCTAGGCAGCAATGGCTCTATTTGCAGACAGACGGCTGGTGACTCTCCCAGGGTCCTAGAGGGAGCAAGTGGCAGGCCCGGTGGTTGACCAGCCATCACGTTCCAGAGTCGGGCTCCTCTCCTTGATGCCTGGGTCTCATCATGCTCATAAAAGGCTATGCGTCAATTATGCTTATTACCCAATTTACAGATGGAAAGATGGAGGCACACAAGGGTTAGCATCTTCTCAGCTCGAAAGTGGCCGAGCCGGGACCCAGCCCAGCCTGCGGGCTCAGGCCCACACGGTAACCACCTGGCCACGGGCCCAGGGTAATGAGCCCTTTGAAAAACGGTGAGTCACTTACCTTGGCTGTGCCTCAGTTTCCTCATTTGCCAAGTTGGGCTCTAGTAATCCTGCCCCACTGACTCACAAGGAGTGGTGAGAAAAGGGATCGGGGCCAAGGCTCCTGGAAACTTCCGTCAGGGAGGCACTCTGGCTGGTCTCGGGCGGCTCTGCCCCAGATCGCGTCCCCTGGTCCCCTGCGTTTCCCCACCTGGAGCGTGGGCGGCCCAGGACGAGAGCTCGGTGGCATCAAGCTCCCCTTGCCCGACTGTCCGGCTCCTTCCTGTGGACAGCAGGCCGCCCGGGGTGATGGTCCAGGCACAGGACCGGCGACCTCAGGCTCGTTCTAGGAAAGTGCACCCGGCCACGCCTGGCCCTGGCCCTGGGGCGGTCCCTGCGGTCACATCCCTGCGCAGGGACCCTCTGTGCCGTGTGACAGGAGCCCGGGCTCCTGGAGGCTCGTCCTGAGGGACGCCGCACGAGGCATCCGCTCTGGGTTCCGAGCTCCGGGCCAGGCCAGCTTCCGTTCTCCTCCCCGAGCTCGTCTTCGAGGCGGTGGCTCAGAGCAGTGCGTCATTCACTCGCTCACTTCACTCGCTCACCGACTCCTCACAGAGCGAGTCCTGTGCGTGGGGCGCTGTTCTGGGCCCCGAGGCTACAGCTGTGAGTGAAAAGACCGAGGCCGGTTCTCATGGAGCTGACCTTCCCGCGGAGGGGGAGGGGCAGTGAAGGTTAGCCCCCCCCAGTGCAATCACATAGACGTACACATGTGTGTGCACACAGGTATGTAAATGTAAGTGCATGTATGCACACACACACATATACATATATAATGTTATTCTAGGTACTAAAGATGTTATAAAAATCAAGCAATCAAGCAGTGTACTAGGATAGAGAGTTCTGGGGGGGCTACTTTAGATTGGGGGGCCTGAGAGTCCTCTGTGAAATGTGTCAATTGAGCAGAGGTCTGAATGAATTAAGGGAGGTTTACATGTGCATACCTGGGGAAGGGAAAATGGCATGTGCAAAGGCCCTGTGGTGGGAGTGTGCCTGGCATATTCTTTAAAAAAAAAAGAATACTGCTGTCCTCACACTAGTGGGATGAGTAGGAGCAAGAATAGTCAGAGTTCCGTAGGAGCTGCCAGTCAGGACACTAGGGTGGTGAGCCCTCTCGGTCGGCCTGGGTTAGGGGTTTTCTAGGACACAGGAAGTTTAGCCCTGAACCTGGGAAAGCCCCAGGCAAACAGGGACAAGTTCTTTATCCCACGTAACACAGAGATTTGGATCTTATTCTGAATAGGATGAGACTGGAGGGTTTGATAATGGACCCTTCTTGCTATGTGGAGGATAAACACTATAGAGACCAAGCATGGAAGCCGGGGCCACTGAGGGGGTACCTGGATGTTTGCACCATGGTGTTTGTGGCGGATGTGGCTGAAGCACTGGGAAGGTGGAGTTGTGTTTACAGGGATGGGGCAGGCTCTGGGGGGAGACCCGGATCTCAGACACCCACAGTGGCGTTACAAGTGGCTGTCCCCACCCTTGGTTCCCGTGGCCTCTCTGCATCCTGGCACGTCCGCTCTGGTTTTCCGTGACCATCCCACCACTCCCTGAAAGCCCGTCTCCAAAGGGTCCCCAGGGGAGTCTATGTGTTCTCTTCTCTCGGAAAGGCCCAGCCTGGATCCTGCAAGTTGAAGTTTATTCCTGATAAGGATGTGCAGCCCTCAGTTAACGAGGGGGTGAATTATTGAAAATCTCCTTAGTGGCTCTGAGTCCCCTGGGCCCTTTGTAATTTATCTGGGCAGCCACCTGTCCAGATGGGTTTGCTGGAATGTGCAACATCTGTAAAAGTCATATTTGCTGGAAGGAAATTCCTGAGTCCTCAGATGTTATCACCTGGAAAAAAGAGGAAGGAGGTTTTATGGACACGAAGGTTATTACAATAAAGCACCTTAATACCCACTGCTGTTGACGTCAGGATGTTGCCATACAGTTTGAAAGAGCAGTTTATGGGGCGATGATGTGTTTCTTTAAAAAACAAACCCCAAAAAAACCTCATTTGTTGGGGCGCCTGGGTGGCTTAGTCGGTTAAGCGTCCGACTTTCGCTTAGGTCATGATCTCGAGGTTCGTGGGTTCGAGCCCCGCGTCGGGCTCTGTGCTGACTGCCAGCTCAGAGCCTGGAGCTGTTTCAGAGTCTGTATCTCCCTCTCTCTCTGACCCTCCCCTGCTCATGCTGTCTCTCTCTCTCCTAGAAATAAATTAAAATATTTAAAAAAAAAAAACAAACCTCATTTGCTTTAACTTCTAAAGTGAAACAAAAACAGAGATGTTTGGCTTCTCATAATGCATTCATCTGGGCAATGAAATCTACAAAGCACCTACTAAGGGCAGGGCCCTGGGCCGAGGAGGAGAGAGATGGGTCAGGTCTCGTTCTCAGGCACATGGCCGGCAGGGGGACACAACAGGGGCATAAACAGCACACAGGGCGCAGCGGGGAGTGCAGTGAGAAAGGTCCCGAGGTTCAGAGAAGGGTAGGGGCTGCTGGGGGCGGGGTGGTGGTGGCAGAGGCTTTGGGAAGGCATGGCCTGTCAGTCAGCTTGCTTTTGCGGGCATGTAGCCGGAGCTCTTAAGGGATCTGACTCACGTGGTGGGGGAGTTGGTTGCCACCTATGGCAGACACCGGCTGTGAGTGGACCTCAGGGGGGCTGATTCAGCAGCTGGACAGCGTCCCGAGGGATCTGGGATGGGTCGGCCCCTTCCGGTTGGTTTGCAGGGCCAGGTGTTGGAGATCATGAGGACGCGGCCTCCCGTTGGCTCAAGGACTAGAGCTGGCGGTCGCTGGCTCCTCACCCCTTCCTGTCTTTGGAGAGGTAGGGCTAGGGTAGCGCTGAGACCATCCGGACAGTATACGTGACTCGGCCGTCAAGGCCTCCGTATAAACCTTTAAAAGCATACGGGGACCTGTCCCAGATTTTGCCCAAGAGGCTCCCAAAGAAGTTGAGAACCAACAGCAGGCCAGGCACTTGGGAAGCTTTTGTCACCTCAGGCTTCCCAGCAGCCCTGGAACCCCTGCCCCGTGTCCCCGCGGGGCCTCTCACAGCCGCCCCACTTTCTCTGGGCTGAAGAGCATCCCTCCCAGTTTCTCCTTCTCTCGGGTGGGGGCGGTGGTCGCCGGCTCGCGGATGTTTCCGGCACCTTCTTTAGAGTGACTGGGTTCCAACCCCTCCGGCTTCGGGCCTTCAGCCACGGTTCCAAGTCCCTCTGAGAAGTCCAGGTCAGTCCTGCTGCACAGGCCTCACTGCCTTGGAGGGTGGGACCTCTTCCAGGAAAGGGCAATATCGGTGCCGGGGGGGGGTGTCACCGAGGCCCCCCTTCCACCAGCGAGGGCACAGCCCGTGGGTGGCCAGCAGTCCATGGTGTGGCCTGGATACAGCCTCTGCGTCCTGTGGGCACGGCCCCGGGGAGTGTGGATCCTGCCCCCCAACCCCCACTCTGCCATTCTGGGATGAGTGGCTCTTGATCAGGCCACGCAGCCGCGTCCAGATGAGTCTGAATCGGGCTGTGTGGCCACGTCCAGGTGAGGGGTAAGCGAGGTAATGCATGGGGGCTCTCAGGACCCCAGCCCCACACAAGGTCGGGGCCCGGAGTCAGCCCACTGTCGTCCACGGCATCTGCAGGTCACCAATCGGGGTCACAGATGAATTGGGTCAAGAGGCCGCCCTGGAGTCAGTGTTTTGGGTTGAGGAGGAAGGATTTCTGTAGACGCTTTGAGACTTAGCCTGGAAAGGCAAATTTGCTCCCAATTGCTCTCAAGGAACAGGCCATGAAAGGTCAATTGTCCTTCAGCCGGGAGCAGAGGGGCTGCGGGGAGGGATGGCGGCCTTGCTCCCTGAGATGCCGTTGGGCAGCCAGACACAGATGGACATCCCAAAGCTCGGGGCTCATGGCCACTGCCTCTTCTCCTTCTTCTTTTTAAGTAAAAAAAAATGTCCCGAAGCCTCCATTACTACGGATTCCCTGGCGCTCTGCTGTGGGCTAATCTTTAGGAAAATGCATTGATGTTTTCAGGTTTTTCTTGCCGGCATACCCCTTCTTTCATCTTGAAACCCAGAAGAAACTTACTCAGTGCTGGGAAACACATCCCTCACTCACTCTTAAATCTCTCCTTCCCTTCCTTTTCTGGCTAAATGTCTAGATTCGTGTTTCATTTTCTCTTTCAGGGATGGCAGATGCTTAAACACCTGCAGACTGTAAAACAGATTGTAAACACAAGGTGATGTTGTTATGATGATTGTCCATTATGATAAGGGCACACTGCCCCCCTCCCCAACCTGGGCCACTGTGATTCCTCATGTGTCCCCGTGAATATTACAAGCACCCACTCGGTGCCGGAGGTGCAGGGGTGACCAGCAGTGTCAGCGTCCCTGTCCTCCTGGACCTGACACTGGAGAGGGAACGAGAGAGGGGAAATGTGTACAGGGTGATTCAGACCATGACGAACCCAGGAAGGAAAGGAACAGTGACATGACATGCCAGGCGGTGGCTGGGGACTTTGGACTGGGGAGCTGGGAGGCTTTTGGGAGGGGCCGCTTGTCTGATGAGGAGGAGGCAGCCAGGGGCAGGCATGTTTAGGGACGGTCACTCCTGGCAGAGGCGCCTGGAGTGGGACACGCTTGAGGGAGGAGGACACAGCAGTGCTGGGCAGCGCGGCAGGTGTGAGGGCCAGTGTGGCCGAGGCTGGGCCCGAGAAGAGCAGGGTCTGACGCATCCGTCCCTCTGACAGGGGCGCTAGAGGGCTTAAGGCAGAGAGGTGCCCGGCCGGGCCGGGAAGGGTTGCTGGTGGGCAGGGCGGGGGCGGGGAGGCCGGAGCAGGGCTGGGCCAGCGTCCAGATCTGTGGGTGCTGGGAAGGTGAAACAGGCAGCGTGTGGTCCGCACACTGGCGCGCTGCTGTCTGAGGGCCGCGGGCTAGCGCCTGCCAAGGCTCAGGGATGCCACAGGCTGTGGGTGGTGACAGGGCGGTGACCGCAGAGCATCCTTCTTGGCCTGTGGTCCTGCAGGGAAAGGTCTGGCCCCGGAGATGAATCCATCCCAGCAGAAACGAAGGTCACGGGGGTGTCGTCAAATGCATTCCCAACGACGATGACGTCTAACGTGTCAGACCCTCGTGTCCTGTGGGCAGACACGGCCGAGCACTTTCTGCTTTGATCCGTCCCATGGTCCTGTGCACCAGGGACTGACCGTATCTTTGTTTTACAGATGGGGAAACTGAGGCAGGGAGAGGGTAAACCACTTGCTGAGGTCACACAGCTAGTGAGCTGCGGCTGTGATCTGAGCACAGAGAATCTGCGTGCGGGACGGTGCCCTCGGGAGCCTGAGCTGGGAAGTCCCGTCCACCTGCACAGGCACCCACACATGTATGGTTTCCCGCTGTGACCTTCTTACATGAAATTTCTTGGCCTTCCGACATCCGGCTTCCAAAAATGCAAAAGGAAAATAGCTTTTCCTCTTTTCCAGACGCCATTCCCCGCCCCCCCCCCGTGACCTCCGCCCTCTGCTCTGGACTCGGACCCAACGCCCCTGCTAAGACGAGCTAAGATGAGCAAAAGCCCGAGTTCCCAAGAGCCTGAGCAAAGGGCTGGAGCACCAGCAGGTGGGGGCTGGGGGTCCGTCTCCAGGTGAGAACAGATCTGTAGCTTCACGGCCGGAGATGGACTGTGTTCAAGGTCATGTTACACCTTGAACCATGGGAATCCACCTGCAGCGGGAAGTGAGGGGCTTTGAGTGGTAATTCCTGGGTGGAGAGACCGCTCCTGCTCACCTGAGACCATAAAACTGGAGACTGTAGCCGAGACGGGCCTTCCCAGGAGGCCCCAGGAGGCCGGGTTGTGGCTGAACGTGAGCCAGACAATCTGCTCTGTGGGGCCAGACCTGCCGCAGTGGGTGGAAACAACCATCCGGGGTGTGTCCCCGACCTGCTCACCAGAAATGCACGGCAGCGACCCGAGGAGCTCAGCCGCAGTCCCGTCTGTGCGTATTTCCAGGGATCAGGCAATTACTCAGGCCGCGTGACGTCTGCAGCTGGGTGCTCTCTGCTGGACGCAGCTGCTGTTGGACGTTGCGGGCTGTCGTCCGGTGTCTGCACGGCACGTGTACACAGCGTGGCGAACCCTGCGGCCTGCGTGGAGCCTGCAGCCGTCTATGCAGCTGGCGAACCCTGCAGCCCACGCAGCGCCCTTTAGCACCACCGGACACGGAGCTTGCAGGGCTGCTGGGTCCTCCTTGAACTTCTGAGGAACTTGTAACTGTGGGCGCCTCCTGTCCCCCACCTGTGATGTCCTACATCCTAGGTCAGACCCTCAGAGGCTCAAGTCCTGTGCTGAGACATTCCTGGCCTCGGGGCTGATTAGCATGTGATGGTCTGCGGGGTCCTTGCACACAGGGCGGGGGTGGGCCGGAGGCAGGGGTGAGTTCCTGGTTCTTGAGAGTTGAGTGGTCCCGTCTCCTCCTGGGGCCAGTGCTAAAAACGCAAGAGTTCCCCAAACTCAGCTGCACCTGTAGAGGCGAGAATACAGGCAGCCTATTT